GCAAAGGCAGAGTCCAAATGACCAGACCACTGGCAGTCCCCTGCAACTCCTGCCAGACAAAGATCGTCACGGGCTCTCTCGTGCCACTGGAAGTCATCTGGTAGGAGTGAAGATGGTGGGAGTGAGGTCTGTGCACCCACACCCTCACCTTAATCCTCACCTATGCGCAAGCTTCTTACCTACAGACAAGCTCATACTCATGGGAGATTTCAATGCTAGAGTGGGGACAGAGCACCTAGTATGGAGTAGAGTCATTGAGTAGAGTCATGGTGTGGGGAAAATGAACCACAACGGGCTCAGACTAGGCCAATCAAGGAAACACCTCAACTGAGATACAGTCACTCCTAAAAACTAAGCATGAGGCCCACAAAGCTCTCTTGTCCTGCCCTGGATCTCCCACCCTTAAAGCCACCTTCATTGCTGCAAGAGCAGCAACTCAGCAAGCCCTCAGGTCTATGGAGGACACCTGGTGGGTACAAAAGGCACAAGAAATCCAGAACCTGGCAGATTGCAATAATATTCAAGGTTTTCATGATGCCATCAAAGCATTGTACGGCCCCAGGAAGCAGGCAGTTGCCCCAGTCCAGAAGACCAGATCCACAACAGACATGTTTTTTGTCTTGAGGCAGCTGATGGAGAAGAGTCGAGAACAGCACAAAGACCTTTTCGTTGCCTTCATCGACCTCAGCAAAGCTTTTGATACCATCAACATTGAACTGCTCTGGAAACACCTCTCCAAACTTGGGGTTCCACCCAAGTTTCTCAGCATCCTAAAGCAGCTGCATGACGGGATGCAAGCCAGAGTCCTTATGGGAGAACTCCAATCAGAGTCTTTCGAGGTAAATATTGGGGTGAAGTAAGGCTGTGTCTTGGCTCCAGTGCTCTTTAATATCCTCCTCTCTGCCATCACCTGCCTCTTCCACTGTGTAATGGTACATGAAGACGGTGTCCATGTGGAATACCGACTTGACGGAAGCCTTTTCAACATCCGGCGGCTCCAGGCCCATACAAAGACAACAACCCACAAAATCTTTGAGCTTCAGTATGCTGATGACTGTGCTGTCTGAGCTCACAGCCCGGACTCTATGCAGAATGCCCTTAACAAAATATCTAGTCTGTACCAATCCTTTGGCCTACAATTAAACAACCAAAAAACCGAGGTCATGTTCCATCTCACCACTTCCACATCCCCCAGTTTTCACATAAATGGTGTTCCACTCAAAACTGTTGACCACTTTACCTACCTTGGTTCCACTCTGTCCTCATGCTGCTCCCTTGATACAGAAATACACACCCGGATAAATAAAGCCTCGTCATTCAAATAAAGCCGCAGCAGGGTTTTTGAAAACCGTAGCCTGAGGATCAGTACCAAGGTTGCTGTTTACAATGCGGTGTGCCTTACCACTCTGCTTTACGGGGCAGAGTCATGGGCCCCATACCGCCAGCACATCATCACCTTAGAGGCATTCCATATTCGTTGCCTGCAGAAGATTCTCAGTTTGTCCTGGGAAGATCGAATTCCCCATACGGTTATCCTCAGCAACACTGGCTCGATCTGTATGGAAGCTGCTGTTGCCAAAATAACTTATGCGCTGGATCGGGCACACCATACGTATGCCTGAACATCGCTTGCCCCGCCAGGTCCTCTACGGTCAACTAATGGGTGCAAAGCGGTCTGCTGGAGGGCAAAAGCGGCGCTATAAGGACTACACTAGGGACATCCTAAAGCGAGCGAACATACCCCTTACGCAGCTTGGATCTTTGGCACTCGAAAGATCAGCTCTGGAAGGTCACCTGTGCCTATGCAGTCTCTCAAATACACCAAACCATCCAAGAACGACGATCCGAGAGGCGTATCAAGAGACATCAGTGGGCGGCTGGCACCCCCCTGGCATCTGGTTTCCCTTGCTCCATCTGCGGACGAGTGTGCGGCTCAAGGATCGGACTCAATGCCCACGAGAAGTGGCACCAGCGACAAGGTCGCTACCGTTGACCAGGGAACTGGCGGAACAAGAAGTGGCCTTTACAATCGATATACACAACCTGGAGAGATTGATGAAGCTCAACAGCAACATGACATCATGACTTTTGCGTAAACATATACGCCACTTTCGCGCCAGGTGGCGTGTTATCTCTACGCATTTTGAGCTATCCGCGTGTATCCGCGTGTATGCGTATATGTCTACGCCATTAACGTCCGCGTCATTCCGCGTGTCCGAACACGCAGTCAAATCCCCAGTCATAAATGCCATTAACCCCAGTGACGGTTAAGTTTAGGGATGGGGTTGAGGTAAGTCATATCTTTTTCTTTCCTAGGATCATGGTAAAGGAACAGTCATAAATGCCATTAACCTCAGTGATGGTTAGGTTTAGGGACGGGGTTGAGGTAAGTCATATATTTATATAACGTTAAGTCAACGGCGTTCATAAACACGCTGAAAGGCGATTATGCGTCTTGATAGCACGCCAAAAATGGAAATACGAATTGGCGTGTCATAAACACGCTACTTCATGAGATCAGTCTGCATAATCAATCTAAATCACTTAAACTCATGAAGTGTCAGCCAGATGATTTTGGCTACTGCCCGTGTGACATAGAATTTGACTGGATCACCCCAAGTGTATTGTGGATCACTTATGATGATAAGTTAAATGAATTTAGCAAAGATTATCAAAAATTGGTAGACCAGGGACTAGGAAAACTACATTTTGCAGTAGATTGAAAGGAGAATCGGGAAAGTAGCTCAATGCCAAGAGGGGGGTGAACGAAAGCCCATCGGAGGATGGTATTGACCTAGCTTCCCAGAAATCCTCACCAAGGTTTAGATTTTCCCTAAAAGTAAAAATCAAAAAGGGGATAATAAAAAAATGCGTGAAACCAAGAAAAGAGACACATCTGAAAGACCTGTCTGAGTTATTGGATATAATGGACATGATGCATATTTGAAAGTCAATACTGTGTTTAAAGGGTGACAAGGTTATAACCTAAAGTTGAATGATGATTCAGACACTTGATGTGTTGGGTAAGAAGTGATAACCATCTCTGAATACATATTTCTGCAAGCATAAAGGAAGCATGAGTTGTCTTTAACCTACCGTGAAACTTTTGCATGTTTCTAAGCAACAGCGATGCTTTTGTGCATGTGTTAATTCTGCTGTATAAAAGAAGGGGATGAAGGAGAGATCTTCGCTCTTCCTTGCAATCACCAACCTGATACGCCAGCAGATATCAGGCGCAAGAAGCTTCAAGCAAAGCTAGTATACATCTGTTAGTTAATACTTATTTATGATCTGTAACAAGCATTCATTTTCAGTTGATTATTGTAATAAATTTTGTAACATTTATTATAATCATCTGACTGGACTTTGGATCATTGAGTGTTAGTCCCACTCTTCTAATTGGGCCTTTTGAGATAAGAATAACCCATATGAGATTTGATTGATCAAAATAGCCTAGCCAAAGAGGCAGCATTTAACAAGTCTATATGTGTAAGGATATGACTAATTGTTATGATGTAAATAAATAAGGTTGAAGGGAGGTAGACTTATAATATAAAGGGGAAATCTATTATTTCGATAATAGAATACGAATTTATATAGACTGTGTACTCTATCCGCCTCTGGTGTTCTGTGTGAATGCCGAGCCCCAGAGGACTTCTTCAGTAAGTGATAACGTTGCTAGTATATAGCACAAGGTAATGTCAGCACTTTCTGCACTGTTAAAATAAGTAATTAAACTTTTTTTTTTTTAAGTAATAAACATGGAAGTGAAAAACATGCTCCTTTTTATGCAAAGCTTTGCTGGGTTCTCTGTCATTGGTCACAGATCCATCAAATATGGAGGTAAGATTGAGGATACACTTATGTTCCAAAGTTGGATGTACTAAATTGATCAAAAGTTACCGCTGAATGGATATCAATCTCTTTTGACTGCAAGATGTTTGGAAAATAAAACAGCAGGCCAATGTGAGTTTAAAGAAAACTGTAACACGGGCAAGTGGATGCTTCAGTTGCCTTTTTATTATTAAATCTGTAAATTTTGAATAGGTTTTAATGGTGCTGCTGACTTTTTAAGCTTGGCATAATACATTATTCACCTGCTTCACTGTGCTTATTCTGTAAATTGAGGCTGAGATGTACAGTGATGTTCATTTCATTATTCAACTGGACTCATGGGACTCCATTGTAGATGAGCCCACATGTTAACTGTTTATATCCTCTCCTTCTGTCTGTCTTCATTGTGCCGTTTTGTTTATCTCTTTCTTTTCCCATAATTCTCTGACGTAGACGCTGTGGGAATATCTTTTCACACAACATCAAACCAGGCAGGAAGTTTCATATTTACAATATTGATGTCCTCTCTTATGTGCTCTGATAATAGTGTTTGTGAGATTTGCAGGTCTTTCTGATGCTTAAACCCCATGTGGATTGTTTTTTCCCAGACTTTCTGACAGTGTGTAATAACCTGTGGCACATGGATAGACTAACTTTTTGTGTTGAAAAGAGATTACAAATTCCCCTTTAACTTTTCCCACTGTTTTATAAATAAAAGCTAAACTTTATTCTTGTTCATTTTTGTCATATATTTTACTTAGCCTTGTTTGCAGGCTATGATAGAAACATCAATTGTTAGAAAGTATTTATGGTAATGCTGTACAGATACTTCGGGTCCTTTAGGATTATCTTAGTCTTGAGACAGATTGCTGTAGACAGTTTTTTTTCTCTCGAAACTATAGTTTGTTATGCTGATGAAAACTCAAACCCACCATCATTTACCATCACAAGCTCACAATGTTTCAGGATTCAATAGCTCCTTGTTTGCGTGGTTTGAAAAGCATTCTTTTTTTTTTTTTTTCAGACTTTTTTTCACTGCAATATGAGTATTTAAATGTATACATTGTTTGTATGACTATTTGCATATTTTATTTGTGCTTTAAGTCAAACATAGATGGTTTTAAATGTTTGGAAAGGTTGTTTGTTGTATGCATAAATGATCACTGCGTGAAAAGAGCTGTAATCGGGCATGTAAAACTCCTGAGTACTCCTGTGTACTCCACAAATAAACGTGTGTATACGGGAGTTTGCTGTCCCGTCACACAATCCCGAAAACTCCTGGATATGTACCAAGTTTGGAGCACAGCAGGGAGCCACTAGGGCCATCAGTTACCATGGTGAATAATCCCCAGGTCGGGGTCAATGCAAGGGAACATTAGCATTTCACACCTTTGGGACACAAGGCAGTGGCCTCCTTCAATTGGTCAGAGATCTTACATAGGATTGGGTGTTCTCAATGCTTTGTCCCTCCTCTAAACCCCCACACTATTGGTCCAGTTTATGGCCTCATTTGGGTTTATTATTACTCATTATTAATATTCATTGTCATTGGTGTTCATGGTTATAATGTCAAGACAATCAGATAGACAAAGTTGAGTTTGTTATTTTTATTATTTGTAAATGACACTGGGCACATGGCATATATATTTATATACACACAGTCAAAACTCTATAAAAAAACAAACAAACAAAAAAAAACATTAGCACAGAATACATTTTACTATTAGTCATACAATAAATAACCCCATATAATATATAAGGCCTGTGTATAATATATGTAAAACAATATAATAACCCGAACAACCCACACCGACTTTCCATCCAATATCCAACTCTTCAGACATGTGGTCAACTTTTGCAGTCTTCCAGATAGCTGCATCTTCCTCTGTCTGGAGAACCCCAGTCCTGCAGCTCAGTAGCTGCAAAATGGGAGGGAAAAAAGTAATTAAACCACTGAAAATATCAAATGTGTTGGGATGGGAGCCTCTCCCAGGCTGAGGGTTTTACTCAGATTTATATGTATTTATATAAAATACACTCTTCTTTTTCTTTGTCTCATGAGCATAATGATCCTGCTGTCCTCCATCTTGTCTTTGTTCTCATCTTGGGCCATCCTGTAACCCCTTCTAACAGTTTCAAAATATGTCTTGCAGGATGCTAGAGAGATGGAGATAGAGAGGGGGAGAATATGTTTATTTGTAACTAACTAATCTATACAGTTAAAAAGTTGTAGCCTTGGTACATTCTCTTGTGACTTACCTTTAACAACAGCAGGATCTACGTCCGGTACAGCCATTAAAAAGATTATGACCTCGAGGTTGTGGGGGGAGGATTGACTGTGAAGCAGTAATTAAAGAAGCTTGATTAAAAATATAATTTAGAAGAAAAGACTGTTATGAAAGCATAGTTTTACAGATATACCTTGTCTGTGCGTCATATTTGTGTATGTTGCTTTCCCCATTGTGCAATCTCCATACAGCTTCCTGTAAAAATCCAACATAGTATGAGGGCTCAATTCGAATAGATTTATAAATAAAGCACACAAAGTTAAGCAGACACCATGATGGTCAGAAAATAACTTACCGCAACAGAATTATTCCCAGCTCTCTTTAATTTCTTTGAAGCAGGCTCCTCTTTTGCCTCTTTGAGCTCATTGATGTCAGCCTCCATCTTATCCAACCTCATGTCCATCATCTCCAGCTTTTCAAATATCCTCTTCAAACTTTCATTTGCCATATACACCAGTCTGTTTTCGTTCGGACTCAGAGATTTAATAGCCATATTGTCCCTATGTAAAGGAGTAACATCTCCACTCTGCTCTCCGTAACACTTGTTGAAGATTGACCCAATGTAAAGCCTATCACCTTTCCTGAATACTAATGAGGGGGGCAGGGGAATAGGGGCAAACTTGAGCCAGTCCCAAAAAAAATTAGCATTTAAAAAGCCAAGCCATCAACTAACAGCATGTGGTCAGACAAGTTCCTGTTTCCGGGCCTTTACAGGCATTTACAGGTACGCATAACAAAGTTCCAAAGATCCCTGCCAAACAGCACATTTCGCGGGCGTTTTCATTGTCCGAATTCTCCCGTATACACACCTTTTGACGCAGTGGATGTCGCTATTATTTAACACTATCCATTCATGTCCAGGGGGAGAAAACTGATCTTCTTAAATGGGTTACGTCCCCTGTTCCAGGATTTAATCTCTGATTGGTTTTGAGTGTGGGATAATATAGGTATTTAAAAGGCTGCATAAGATCGACTGTATATTTAAAAGGCTGCATAAGATCGACTGTATATTTCTTGATTCCCATGAAGGTAAGCACAAGTTATTTTAATGTGATGTTTGAAATATAGCAATTTGTAGCTTTTCAAAGACCCATGTGTATACATAATTGTGGGTGATACTTATTGTGTATGCTGGAATAATAATAATAAAAAAATAATTAATGCATGTTGAAATTTTCTGCTTCTTTATCAATTTGACTAATATTTATTTACAGCTAATCATGGGAGCAAAACTTTTACTGGTGTGTTTTGTGATAATTCTGTTTTGGGGTAAGGCTAATCTTTTCTTTGGATTATTTTTATATGATAATATCTGTTGTGTAAACACATTTATTGATTTATGAATTAATTAAAATAATTTTTAATGAATCATTTAAATTTAAATGTTTGATTATATATTATAACAATTTTTGGAAACATTTTGATAGTTTTGTTAAATGCACTTATTTAAAGGTGCAATGTGTAACATTTTCGAGTATCTAACATAACTTATTAACCATAAGTTTTCACGTGGTGTATAAAGAACTTACTTAATAAACCGTAATTTTTTTATTACATTAGAATGAGAATTTATATCGACATAACCGCGTACACCCCCTTCTATGAAGGTTGACATATTGTGATGTCATGTTTCTACCGTAGTCGAACGCGAACAAACAGAGCTACAGAATGCGTTTCATAACTACCTTGAAAGAGAAGCAGCAGAAAGCTAGAATCTAGCTATAAACACCTTGAGTAGTGACTTTCCCCTTGTCAATGGTGTAAAATATGTAGTTGGACTGTTTCATGTAACTTAGTTCTTCTCCCTCACAGAGTTTTCAAAATCAGAGAAAAAAAATATTGTGTGTACACTGTAAAATTTTTTACTGCTATTTAATTAAAAAATGATGGTAACAATTTTATACATCATATTTTTGAGTTGTTAAGGCTTGATTTCTTTCATGGAATCTACCTGAATTAATCATGCAAAACCCCCTTAATTATTTAGTCTATGATACAAAAGTTGAAAATCAAAAGTGTCTGACTTAGAGTGAATGGAAATAACCTCTTTTTAAGTTATATTGCATTATTGAAAGACTGAATGCCGATAGCACCGTTCATTGTCAAACTTGTTACTGCACTAGCATAATAAAAAGTTTTTGCTCAATAAACAAAGCAATATGCTTCAGAGTATCAATACATGCAATTCACAACCTTACTATAAGCCCTACTCTTCTGCACGATGGTAACAATCAAAACTTCAACATAATATAAACTTTTTCAAATATCAAACATAACTGAACATTAAACATTAGCATATGGTTCCCTTTTACTCAAAAACACATAAAATAACACTTAATTTTAATATTTCCTCTTTTATTTTTAAAAAAAATTTAAAAATGTATCTCTTGGTTTTATTAGTGAATATGTTCTCAATATATGATATACACCACTGAACCACAATTTTCTTAATAAAATATACACAATAGTTTTAATTATCACCTTCATCTTTTTAATGACAATTTTTTACAGTGAAACAGTGTCTAGGGGATGCAGAGGCGCGCACTGTTACAATCATGTATAAATTTGTACAATCAATTTGAGCACCTTTGGGCTCATGCGGACGCATCAAGGCTTTACACTTTAACCAGCTCAGCCACAGTAACAGTTAATATTTAGCCAGCTAAAGTTTTACTACCCTGTTAGAAAAAAATATATGTAGTTGCATAGTTTCATGTGGTTCTCTTCCCTCACTGTATTATGGGTTGCTATGTGGGGAGAAATGTGCTGGTTATTTGTGAGATGATCAGCTGATTACTATTATTATATTATATATTAAGACCAATGATCCTTACCTGACTATGGCTGTGTAAACTTTATCCATGATGTGGTTTATAATGGACTGTGTTTCAGAAACAGTGACAATGTTACGTACTCTTGGCTTACTCTGGCTATTCTCTGCTGTCTCAGACGACGATATGTTTGTCCCGTTTTAGCCACCGTAACTTCTTCTAAATGGAGGGGTGAGCAGTGGGCTTGAACCCTTAGTGCGAACTCGCAACCGAAGCGCTAGATGTCGCTAAAAATCACACACTGCACCTTTAATACCATTGTCTTTTAAACATTTGGTTACAACATTTTTTTAAACAAAATTTTTTTATATGTAATTAATTATTTCAGTCTTTCTCTCTTGACCTCTTAAAGATGGCTGCCAAGCTCGATCTGCAGGACAAGAGTTTGCCACTGCGTTTATGCAAAATTCTGTACCCAAATTTGATGTCACGCTCTTTCAGCTTTATATAACCTCTGTGAATTCTAATTGCCTGGTGAAGGTCAACATACCTGGTCTTCGTTTCACCCAGGAGATGCAACTGACTGCTGCAGGTCAGGGCATCACTGTGACCCTCCCCAAAGAAGTCGAACTGTCTGGCAGCAAGAGGTCCCACAATACTGCCTTCATTCAGGCAACCGATGACATAACGGTTTCCGCACTAAACTCAAAACAATACACGGCAGATACGTCCCTGGTCTACCCTATGAGCGAATGGGGCACTGAATATTTTGTATTCACCCCTACCAATTCCCCTCCATCCATGCTAAAGGAGTTTGTTCTTGTCAACGGTAAAGAGCAGAACTTGGTGGAAGTGTTCCTTCGAGCGGCGGTCCGGTTCGAAGGCCGCTTGTATGGAGTCGGCAGTAAACTAGTTTTGGAGATGGACCCTTTCGAAAATGCACAAATACAAAGCCAAGGAGACTTAACAGGAACCCGTGTATCCTCGCAACTTCCCATCGGTGTCAACTCGGGCCACATGTGCACGTGGCGCTTTTCTAAGTGCAATCACGTTTATGAGCAACTCCTGCCGGTGCAAAGATGGGGATCTCAATTCCTGGTGGCTCCGTTTAGCATCCAGAGCCAGTTTGACAGTGTCTATATCCAGGCATCACGGTCAACGAATGTAACTGTTCAATTTGGCCCAACTATATTAAATGATGTACTTCAGCGTGGTATGATCATAGAATACAAAATCCGTTTTCCAGATGGTCTAAACATCATTGCTGACAGTGGAATCCAGGTGTTTTTTCTGTTTAATGGTGTGCGAACATCCTCTAATGTAATATATGACCCGTTTCTTGTAAATCTTCTGCCCAACAACCGTTTTGGTTCTTCATACGCACTTGATGGGATAGCGGGCTTTGACAACCGAGCCCTGTTGATTGCGCCAACAAATGAACAAGCAGGGATTCTTTTTGATGGCTTGCCTTTACCTGGAAATAGTCAGTGGAGGGTTATCAAAAACAGCCAGTACTCCTGGACTGAACTGGTTTATCAACCTGGGGCAGGTGGGCACAAAGTAACCCATGCAAGTGCTTCTTTTGGGGTCTATAGTGTGGGAATCGACCAAGTGAACGGATACGGAGCTTCAGCCCCATGCATTGATCAAGGTGTGTCACAATTAAACACATTCCTCCTTTTGTTTAAAAAAGCTTTTACGTTTGTTATTGTTAGTGTAGATAATGTTAATGGCAGAAAAATTCTGTCACCATTTACCTTATGTTTTTCCAAACTTGTATGAGTTTCTTTCTTCTGTTGAATACAAATGAAGATATTTAGAAGAATATTGGCACAATTTACTTAAAGGAATAACTATTCCTTGTTGTAGTTGTGCCTCGCTCTTGCTTCAGCATCGGCTGTAGTCCGGATGAGGAGTGCCAGATGATAGGTTCCATCCCCACCTGTGTGAAGAAACCAGTTGGACTGTGTTGGGCTATGGGCGATCCTCACTACAGCACATTTGACCAGCATTATTTTGACTTTATGGGCACTTGCACTTATGTCGTCACCAGGAACTGTCAGAAAAATGACAGTCTTCCAGCTTTCGAAGTCTTGGCTAAAAATGAAAATCGCGGAGACATAAGAGTCTCCTATGTGGCACTTGTAATTGTGAATATCGGCGGTATCACCATCAGCGTTGAAGGTTCCGATCCCGGGAAAGTCAGGGTAAACATTTGTATTTTTATTTATTGCATGGTTTTAGTACTAAACCGTATCGGTTACTAATCGTGGTAACACTTTTTGAATACGGTTCCTTCGTTAATGAATAACTACATTGAGTAACACAATGTTAACAATCTAGAAACTATTATTAACTAACAAGAAACTCTGATTAACAAACTAGTAAGTAATAGCGCATAGATGAAAGTGGTAGTTCACTATTAACTAATCAATAACTTCTATTTTTTTAATACTTCCCAGAGAACTACTGAAAAAGTTTTTTAATAATAACTACTAGTAACTACAGTACTATTAACTAAAAGAAACTCTTATTAACGAATTATTAAGTAATAGCTCACAGATGAAAGTGTTACTAGATACTTCTGTGGGAATTACTAATTATTTAGATTCGTATTATAAAGTGAAGATCATTGGAACTAACTAGTAATTTACTCAAGTGTTACTAAAGACATTTCTAAAAGTATACTAAAGTTCACCAAAAATCTCAAACGGTTGCACAAATCATCACTAGATCATGTCGTAACACTTGAGTCATTACTAGTTAGTTCCAGTGATCTTCACTTTATAATACAGATCCAAATAATTCGAACTAAACTCGCAGACTAAATCTAAAATATCTTAAACTGTCTTCCGAATATGAACGGCGGTCTTACAGGCTTGGAACGACATGAGAGTGAGTCATTAATGACATAATTTTCATTTTTGGGTGAACTAACCCTTTAAGTTTTATAAGCACAAATGCTTGCCTTGCTCTGTTCTGTGATGCACGTTCCTGTAGCTTAACATTGTCGCTAAAACACTGAAATATTCTATAAAAAATAAGTACATT